AGGCACAGAGCCCGCTTGGGATTCTCTCTCTCTCAAAATACATAAATAAACAATAAGAAAATACCGTTTAAAAATGGGCAAAAGATCTGAACAGATCTTCTCCAGAGAAGATATACAGGTGGCAAATTAACTAATACAAATATGTTCACAACAACAACAAATCAAATAGTCTAATGAAAAATGGGCAAAGGACTTGACTAGACCTTGCTCCAGAGATAATATGCAAATGGCTCAGAATCATATGAAAAGTTCCTCAACACCGCTGTTCAATGCTAACGGAAACCATGAAGTCCAGCCTCACGCCTGTTAGGATGGTTGCCGTCAAACACAGAAAATAAAAGTAAGTGGTGTTGGTGAGGATGCGGAGGAATGGGGGCCCTGGACGTTACTGGTAGGAGTGTAAACGGGGGCGGCCGCCGTGGAAAGCCATATGGTGGTTCCTCAAAAAACCTAACACAGAATTACCGTCTGATCCAAACACCTCACTTCCGGGTATCTACCTGAAGCATCGAGAGCAGGGTTGCAAAGACCTCCTCTCATTAGGGAGACGCAAATCAGAAGCACAAGATACCCCTGAGCAACTGTCCTAGATCAGAGGAAGCTAAAGAGACATGGGTGGCTCAGTAGGTTAAGCCTCTGACTCATGATCTCAGCTCAGGTCTTGATCTCAGGGTCGTGAGTTCAAGCCCCGCGTTAGGCCCCGCTACTTAACATTAAAAAAAAGAGAGAGAGAGAGAGAGAGAGACTAAAGAGACGTGACAGCTGAACGCAGTGTGCAATTCTGGATTGGGTCCTGGAACAGAAAGAGGACACAGTGGAACGACTGGTGCAATCCAAACGAAGTGTGTAGTTTAACGTTATTGTCCCAGCGTTAATCTCTGGGTTTTGACCACTGTGCTATGGTTTTGTATGGACTGGTCTGCTCGGGCTGCTGTAACGAAATTCCACAGACCGAGTGGTTTTAACAACAGGCTTTTTTTTTTTTCTCACGGTTCTGGAGGCTACAAAGTCCAAGGTCCAGGTGCCACCTGATTCAGTTCCTAGGGAGAGCTCTTTTCCTGGTTAGGAGACGGCCGCCTTCTTGCTGTGTCCTCCCGTGGTAGAGAGAGAGAGAGAGAGACAGGTAGAAAGAGAGCTCTCTGGTCTCTTCTTTTAAGGGTACTAATCCCATCATGAAGGTCCCACCTCATGACCTCATCTAAACCTAATTGTTTCCCAAAGGTCTATCCCCCGAATCCCATCACGCTGTGGGGTTAGTACTTCAACAGAGGAATTCTGGAGGGGACACAGTTCAGCCCGGACCATTATACAGGATGTTAATATTAGGGGAACCGAGTGGAGAGTATACAGGAACTCTCTGAATGATCTCTGGAACTTTTCTGTACATCTCAAATTATTCAAAGATTTCTTTTTTTAATTTTTAAATTTTACGTATTTATGTATTTGTTTTTGCCATCAATAAGAAATTTACTTGTCTTAAAAAAAAATCCAGGGGCGCCTGGGTGGCGCAGTCGGTTAAG